AAAAAAAAAAAAAAAAAAAAAAAAAAAAAAAAAGAAGAAATAGAAAGTATTAGACATATTTCAAATAAAAAATATAATATAAATATGACCAAAAGTAGAGATTATTTATTTTAATTTCTAATATGGCTATAGTCAATTTGCGATTCTAAAGTTTGAACTGAATATATTCACATTTTAATCAAAGTTGACAACCTTGAATATTAGATATCATCATAGTTTAGTATTATTCATGTTATATTTAGTTATCGTGTATTTAAGTATATATATATATAGTCAAGTATTATGTTTATTAAATAATTGAAAATTCACATGATTTACTTTCTAGATTATGCATGCCAATGATAATGCATATATCTTAAGATTCTAATGAAGGTAATTATTAGTTAATCATTATTATTTGAAATCATCCAACCACTTTTATTGTAATAGTAAAAAAATAATGAGTTTAGTAGTTTAATGCTTCTTTATATACAATGTTATGTGTATAAGTTCCTTGTTTTTCTAATATATTTCCATTTTTTATTAAAAGTTTTAAATTTTTAGCAGATTTTACTTTGGAAAATGCTATATATAACTGTCTATATGTGAATACATGTTCAGGAAGATACAGCCCAACATGTGGTATCATTTGACCTTGTGATTTATTAATTGTTAATGCAAAGGCAAGCCTAATCGGGAATTGTTTTCTTTTTAGAATGAAGGGCATTTTGATATCTTGAGAGGGCATTAGTGGAATCCATGGAAGAAAAATTCTTCTACCACTATATTCTCTTGCAGTTATTTCAGCATTAATAACATTTTTATAAAACATTCTACAGATCAGTCTTGTACAATTGCACAGACTATTTGCAAGATCTAAATTGCGCATGCATATAATCAGAGCTTCAACTTTAAGAGTTAACTCATGGGGTGGTAATCCATTAGGAGCTAAAGAATTAAGAAATTCAGATTGATATATATTGTTGATATCTTCAAGTACCGAGTCATAACTATAGTAAGTTATTGATTTATCAGGAAATTGTTTAATGATTTCTTTATTTATACACTCAACATAGTCATGTTTAGTTGTTAAGATAGCATGATTGGTGATATATATGGTGTTGTAAGCATTTTTGTGAAGATTAGGATAAATAGAATCAATTAAGACTTGTAATGACTCATTATTATCTTGCCAGTGTATGATTATTTGATTAGGTATTTTGATCAAGTCTTTATTAACAGTTGGCTTAGTTCCATTACCAATTCTTAGTAAGAAATTAACAAAATTATTAGAATTATTATTATCTTCAATTTGCATGTTTTTTTGTAAATGAAAAATTTCAACAAATGACCATAATGGAGATTTATTAAAAAATGCGTTTACGATTTGTGCATGTGTTCTATGTGGTATCACAGACAGTACTTGCCAAAAGTCACCTCCAAATATAAATATCTTACTACCAAAGGGGAGATTATTTTCTATTATATCTTTTAATGATCAATCAAGTGCTTCTACTGCAAATCTATTAGTCATTGGGACTTCATCCCAAATAATAAGCTTTGCTAAACGAAGTAAATGAGCCTGTTGACTTTGTTTTAAACGAAGTAAATGAGCCTGTTGACTTTGTTTAGTGAAATTATATATTGTACTTTCATTAACAATAATAGGGATTTTAAATCGATAGTAGGCAGTATGGTCTCCAGACATGAGTAATGAAGCAATTCCTGAAGAGGCAGTTGCTAATGCTATATAACTTTTTGACCATATGTATGCTAGTAAACATCTGTAAAGGTAAGTTTTTCCGCAACCACCAGGCCCATCAATAAAAAAGATACCTGACCCATTATCATCAATTCATAGAATGATCGAGTCGAATGCAATTTTTTGGGCTTCATTTAATGATCTAATTTTTCTTAAGTCATCAGGTAATACTGGAATAGATAGTTCTTCTAAAATTAACCTTGGTAATTCTTCATTAACCAAATTAGTAATTTTTGGTAAATCATAATTATCTATATTTTTATCATGTTGTTGTAAAAAATGATTAATATGTTCAAGCACTGCATTGATGCATAGTTGCCCTTCTGGTATGCCATTTTTAATGAAGTCTTCAGACATTGCATTAAAATTCTGATTTCAAATTTCTTGAACATCAGTAGCTTCTCCAAAGACCAAAATAGTTGAAAATAAATTACTTAAAGCATAAGATGAATGAAATTGTTTAGCTTCAGACATACACTCATGAAGTGACTTATCAGCTTCTAACAAACCTCTCTGCTGAGCACTTTCTTTAAAATCATGACATAGATATCCATTAACATACTTAAGATTTTTAAATAAAGTTGCACCTCATACATGATTTAATAATAAGTAAAGATAAAATCTTTCTCTTTTATTTGGTTGAACAGTATACATTCTTCCAATCGCATGACCTTTTTTTTATTTAGTTCATTGTTTGTTTTGTATATTCCAAACATAATAATGTGGAATTTCAGGATAAGTGTATTTACGTGCTTCTGGATCAGTTATATTTAGATGAAAATATTCTGTTAACATGGTTTTTTTGCTATTTTCATCTGAAAGAATTTCTGTTATATTAATATATTCAAAGAAGTTAACTATATGATGGTTTGATAGATGACATGAAAGACAAATTACTAAGGGATTCATATCAGACATGGAAAATCCAAAAATTCTCCAGCAAGCTTTAGATGAAGAGACCCACTGAGCTTCTATATATTGGCTAATTTCATTTATAATCGGATTATTTTGTGATGTATTAAAACTAATTTCTATTGCTGCTCTATCATGACCTTTATAAATGTATTTATAAAGATACTTTATAGCTTTAATATTTGAACAGATTTCAATGTTAATATGACAGTCATAATGTAATAGTAGATATGGGTTGTAAGGAATGACCCAATAATTATCAAGTTTAGTTTCTCTTATTATCACATATCTGTCATCTTTTCTATAATGATATTGTGAATAAGAATTTATATTTTCAGATGTAATGTTTGAAAATTCTTTTGGATAGTGTTTTTTACACTTTCTATTTTTCATACATGAGGAAAGTGGATTGAAGAGACTGTATGAGCCATGAATCATGTGAGAAATAACTTTATCATATAATATTGGCTCAGTGCTTGCATTCGGTAATTCAGCATGAACAATAGTATCATAATCATCATGATTTCTCAGTTTATCTGCTGGATGTAAAATCATCAAAATATGAGAATGTGGAATCCTCTTTTTTGAAATTTGATAATATAAATGTTAGCAACAGCTTTACCAAGAATCCCTTTTTGAAAGAGATCCTTTTTAATTCTTCTAATTTAGCATGGAATACTCAAGCTTAAAGTAATAAACAAATAAAATGAATAAAATAAAATAATGATAAAAAAATTATACAAATAAGTAATAGATAGCATACAGTAATATAATAAAAAATAAAAAGTTAAGTAATTAACCTGTTAAATCTGATCAATCTGTTGCCTTTTGTCCTGGTAAAAGATTTTTGAGGATTTCTGGCCATTTAGAATTACAGACCATAGTAATAAATAAGTCCAATTTTTCGAATGTAGGTACTAATACCATAGCATCTTGGTAACATTGATACATATCTTGAGGCCCTCCAATAAATGAAAAAGATAGAACTATTCATTTTGCGATATTTATAGCATTAGTATTACCAGAATTGAATGAATTTTTAAGACCTGAATAAAGGTTGCTTCTAATTTTTGTTTGGTTAAAATGTAAGTAGTTAAAAGGATGTGGCGACTTAGTGAAGTGGTTAAGTTGTTGCATCCGAGATAGCCAGGTTTAGAGTTCGAATCCTACTGGT